GCAGGCATGTAACAGCAATTATGTTTGTATTACAGAAAAGAATATGAGTATTTATAAACTTATAGTTAGACTATTTGCTATTTTAAATTTTTTTAAAAATTTAAGCCTTAAAACTAGAATTGTTAGAATATTTAATTAATCTTTTAGAAGAGGGTGGATTTTGAGCATAAAGAGGCTGTTAGTTACAAAACCAAGGTGATAGGGATTTTGGGGGGTACTGGGGTAAAATTGGGTCCTTACGCTTGGTGAGGCAGGATGTGGAACCACTGAGCTAAATCCCCAGCCCACCAAGAAAAGGATATTAAGCAAGATAATGTTATTCTGGGCAACAAATTGAGTGTTTTTATAGGCATATATTTAGTTGATTGCGAGTATTAATAATTTAAACTTATAGAGCCAAATTAATTATTTTTGTTTCTTTGGAAAGAATTTTGTTACATTGTTATCAACTTCCAAGTTTCCTGGGTCCTACATGTTCTTTAAAGGATTTCATGATGCTGCTCTTATAGTTTTAGCTTTAATGGAAAGGAGAATTGTTTGTAATTATGGATAATTTATAATTTTTTTCTTTCAAAAATTGTCCTGCTCATTTAGAATATGAATTAGAAGGTGATTCTTAGACTCTTGTTACTCAACACAAAGAACTTCATGAGATACCTCAGTTTTATGGAGTTGTGTTTTGGTGTTTTTTTTTACCTTTATGAAACATTTTCTCCTTTGGGAGTGATGTTATTACTTTATACTTTTTAGATTCTGAAATCCTTTTCTTCTAAAGTCTTAAAGAGTATTGACTAAATACACAGGTTTCTTTGCAGTGTGATGAATTTTTTTTCTTGTCCACTGTACCCATGGCAAAATGATCCTTAGTGCTACTTTATTTGAAATATATTAATCAGAAATTCCTATTCTTTGTGTTTTCACATTTTTTAAGCCTTTGTATTTTTAGCTGTAAGGGTTGCCTTAGAACTGCGTTACCCAACAGAGTAGCTGTTAGTCACATAGACTATTTCAATTTAAAATTTAATCAATAAAAATGAAATAAAATTAAACATCCCTTCCTTAGTCATACCACAATAGCCAGTGTGTCCAGTGAGCACCTTGGACAGTATGTTTACCACAGTATGATAATGTAATAATAGAGGGTATGATTGTAATGTAGAATGAATGGTTCCATTATCACAAATGGTTCTGTTGGATACACTGCCTAGAACCTTTAGAGCTTTCAATGATACAAACAGCCTGCTGCGGCAAGCATGCCATAGGTTCACCACCACTGGCCTTGAATATGGTTCACAAACTGAGCTGAGCCCAATCAGGGCTACTATCTGTTTTGCTGGTGAAATTTTATTGGAATGCAGCCGTGGCCATATGTTTGCATATAGTTTGTGGCTGCTTTCAACTGTTTACAGCAGAACTGCCTAGTTAGAACAAACCATGTAGCCCACAGAGTTTAAAATGCTTTCTCTGTCCTTTTATCGTGACCCTTGCTTTGAAGTGTACATGTCAGAAGGTTGAGATTGTATGACTAGCACAATTATTGTATGCATAGCTTATGTTAATGGTATGGTCTATCTTTACAAGACAGATTTTCCTAGTTTAAAGAAAACCAGTCAAAAACAGTATAAGCAGGGCATAGTATAGGCAGATGGCATACGCCTGTGATCCTACCACTCTGAGAGGCTGAGACAGGAGGATCACAAGTTCAAGCCCAGCCTGGGCAACCTAGTGACTAAGAAAAAGAAAAGATAAGGAAAAAGGGCTGAGTATGTAGCTCAGTGAGAACTGGGTTCAATCTTTAATACACAAAAGAGTATCAGACCAAAACTTTGTGTTAAATAGTTAAAAATAATCACTTCTTTATCAGATAGTTGGAAGATTAAATCCTCCTCTCATCAGCTACTTTCTAAAATAGAATTAAAGAGAGAAGAACACCAGGCAAGACTGTTTTAACAGTCAGCATTCAGGGTGCCTGTCCCTTACAATGGGCTGGGCAGCTAGCAGTTTAGTGCCACAAGATCTGTGCTTGCTGCTGCCCCTTGCCACCCCTGAGCCCTGAGTCTGGGAGTTAAGGGATGGGATTTGCTGAGCAGGGGGACAGTCCTGTTATAGAGTCAGGTAGGTGACACATACAGCATAGCAGACCCAAAACTGTCTCTTCAAACCTTTCAGTTTAGATTCGAACAGGAGTTTTTTCTTCAAGTGTTTAATTCATTAATAACTAGTTTCCAAATTTTTGATCCATTAATTATTTTTCTGTTGCTCCTTTATCTTCTGAGATAACCCAGAAATATAGTTTCTTATATGACATGCTGAAAACCATTTTGTTTGCCATTTTATATGTGAATTTTATACTGTTTCAAACCATAGAGCTGTTGCATTTTGTTGGGACAGGAGATTTTATTGTCTGTTTGACTTACACTTGATCTGACTTAATGGAAGCCAGATCATGATGTATACATTGTTCCTCAGATGAATTTATCTTTGAGGATTCTATTAAACTCTTTTTTTTTTAACTGTCATATTTTTAGTTAGTTGATGTCAAGTTGTATGGGATGTAATAAACATAAACTTTTGACTTTGTCCTATCAGAAGTGCCTTTGTTACTCTCTGTTATTTTCTGAGGCTTGAGCTCTCACTTTTTTTATTATTATTATTATTATTACAAGTGCCCCAGCTTGTCTGGGCCAGGCTTTTGTATGTGCTCAATGAGGACCTTATAAAGGCTGACCCTCACTGGAGCAGATCACAGTGCAGCCCAGAGCTAAATTTAGAGGGATGCCATGCCTCTGCCCCAAAATAGTAACAGCTGAGAGATAGATACTTAGTGAACACAGTTATCTTCGGTCTTTCACTACCTGCGTGAGTTTTTTTATTTTGCTTTACATATCGCTGGTGTGTATGTTAAGATCTTTGCGTCCTCCACAGAGAATATGTTGAGGGTATGGAGAGTAAGCCTCTAAAACTGAGCTATGAAGAAAAACTTCTATGTTTCAAAAAGCCAAGGGTTAGAAACACAGTAGTTCTCTCATGATGTATATTTATGGCAATTTTCCAGCATTAGAAAAAGGTGCAAAGATAAAATTTAATCAGGAATTCCATGAGTTTGTATTTCAGTGCAAAAAGAAGTTTTAAAGAAGGTTCACACTAATGTTTTTTAAGTTGCAAAATAAAAACATCTGTAGAGTAACTGCTTGCATGTTCACCCGCTAAAGATATTTTAAGCTATTTGAACTTTTTTTTTTTAAGTTTCAGAGTGAAGCCTTAAACTCTTTTAACAAGTTTTTTGTTCAGTTTCATTTTTTCCTTAAAATAAGCATGTGTTTAGAACAGTACTTGTCCAGTTTGGGAGGTGAGGGAAACATACAATGTCATCACTTTTGCACCACTTAAATGTTTGCCCATCCAGAGTTAATGATGGAAACCCCAATGGGGAACTTTCTGAATGAGTTTTGTCGTGAGTATAAATGATGTATTAGAAGCTCTGTTTCCAACATCTATCAATGAAATGAGATTACATTGATGAGTTTATAGCATTTGTAACTATTTCAAAATGTACCTGTTGCCACATGTACAAAGAACAAATTAAAATTAAAAATCGCTTTCTGTACCTTTACTCTGCTGATACGGCTATTGTTTAACTCTCACATTGTATTAGAGGTATTTGGATTTTATGTCTTCCACTAGGCTCCTTCAAGTTGATTCTAGCTTAGTTACCTATTGGTCTCAAAGTAATGTGCGAGTTCATTTTACTTTATAAAACTGATAAGAATTCCTTCAGCTCAAATGTTAAATTGTGTTTTGCTACTTTATTTGTAATTAGTTTCCCTTTGATTTTTTGAGACATGGTCTTGCTATATACTACACTTCATACTGCCTTATTCTCAATTGTTAAGACATCTTATGGAGCAAATTCTGCATATTGTTAGCCTTAAGTTTTACTTGTGTATATTATTTTACTCCTGTTTAGCCAGTAAAGTTATGGTTTACACTCTTCTAGCTAGTTGCTTCTTTGCCTACAAAGGAAAGGAAAGCCTTGAACACCCTTCCATATCAGTAGAACAGCTTATTTGATGAGTATTTTATAAATGCCTTCCATGTCCATCCAGTTTTTAGGTATGAAAGACATAGTACTGCATAAAACCTTATTGAGGTTACCCTCACTGAGGTGGCTCTCATGAGAGAAAGTAACCATAGAGAAACAGATAATAGTAGAATGGCAGGAAGGTACAAAGGATCCTGAAAAAAATAAAGCTAGGTAAGAAGAAAAAGTGACAAGGATCCACTTTTGTCAGAATGGTCCAGAGGCCTCTCTGAAAAGGAGGCCTTTGAATAAATGCAGGAAATGAGCCATGAGCCATGGAAGGCTAGGGATGCCTTCCGGAAAGAGAGACAGGCACAGAGCCTCAAAACTAGACCTCATACGCTCTGTCAGAAGCAAAGTGAGAAGGGCAGTGTGGCTGGAATGCAATGAGTGATGGAAAAGGGGTGTCTTCTATGTATATATCTTGAAATGGAGCCAAGGTAAGAAGTGCAGCACATTTTCTGATTCATCTGTTTACAAGGCTGCATGATGTTCCCGGCAGTAGCTAAATGACAGCTTATTTACCCAGACTCACATTTATGGGCAATTTAACTTTCCATTTTGTTCATGAGTCCAGTAATGCTACAGTTAAACCCTTTTACAAATAGATATATATTTGCATCCTCCTTGGGTTTAACTGTAGGATTGATGCCTAGTACAGGAATTGCTGAGCCACAGGTTATATCCATGTGAGTATTTATAGATTTTCTCCATATGTTCCCCAGAACGTATTACATGGAGTCCAGCCTCTGCCAAAGTTAATGTCTGTCCTTTGCCAGCACTTTAATGTTTTTGCTAGTTCAGTAGTTAAAAAAGTATTTTCGTATGTGTTTGAATTTAAACATACACTGATAGTTCTATATTTATATGAAGTAATTATTTTAAAATACTTAATGTTTATTTTCTTTTTCTTTTTCAGAAATTTTATGAATAAGCATCAGAAGCCAGTGCTAACAGGCCAGCGGTTCAAAACTCGGAAAAGGGGTAGGTTGGGTTCTGTATTTATGTTTATAGATAAAGTTAATGTTTAAGGTTGAAAGATAAGAATTGCAGCCATCTGTACTTCTACTCAACCTCACAAATTCTATTCCTGTGAGATCCAAATGTAGAATCTGAAGTCAAACCATAGAATTCCAGTTCCACTCAAACCATAGAATAAGCCAGTTCCTTAGGTCTTTGATAGATAAGTCATTCTGCTTGTCTGGGATATATTATATATCTTTTATAAAATTAAAATAATTGATAAGCTTTGCAGTTCTTGACTTCAACATTTGTATTTGAGTTTTGTCTTCCTTCATTGTCTTTGTTTCTTTGTTGATGGCAAAGATGATCATACTGTAGAATAAGTTAGGAAGAGAGGTACTGAAGAGTTTTTTTTCTCAGAACTTAGAAAGCCAAGTTAAATCTTCTGACCTTTATACCCTTAAAATCCATAATATTTTCATGTGTCTTTTATTGTGGGTAGAGTAGTAGTAGTAGACACTGAGATGGTGGTTGGTAAAACTTCTATTTATGTGAGTGACTTATCTTTTTTAGATATGTATTTTACCATCCTTTTTGCATGAGTAATATTTTAAATATGATTTTATATTTAGTTTTATACAATTACATAGTGTTGCAAAAATAAATAGTTCTGCATAACTGGTATGGAATATATGAAAATACTATATATTAGACTGAGGCAGGAGAATCGCTGTGAGTTCGAGACCAGCCTGGGCTACACAGTGAGGTCCAGGTCAGTCTCAATTACATCGTGAGACCCTGTCTCAAAAAACAAAACAAAACAAAATTATATATTTATAGTTTTGCAATTATATTCTTATATGTAAAAGTAGTCAAACTGAAACTTCATAAGGAAACTCTTTCAAAGAGGAAACATGAGATGAATTGTTAACTGACTTTGAGAATGGTTAAAAAAATATAAGAAAATATCTTGTTTAGGCAAATGATCTTTGAGTGCCAAGTTGTCTCAGCGGGTAACCCACTTTGTACTCCGCTGGCGCGACCAGCCCCGGTTCTCTTGCAGGGCTATGTCCACTCAGGTAGCAAGTATAGTCAGCTAGGAAGACTGGAAGTCCCAATGCAGTTGATTATATGGATATGAGAGCTTGCAGGAGTCACTGGACAGCAGTAAGTCTCATCATGATTACAAGGATAGCCTGAGCCACCTCCTTCTATTTTGTCCTTGTCTCAATCGTAGAAAATGTGTGCTTCTCCTCAGGAAGCAGATATCAATATAAGCTGCTAACTAGCGTGTATTTATTGTCTCACTGTTTAAGTCTTTTTAAAGAAAAAAATCGCATAAATGATTTTGAAAGGAATCACCGAGATTGAACCATAACCTTGTTCCGGGGAAGTGAACGCGGGCCTGGGGAATGTGATACTAGTTCATATATGCCTGACTGGGAGGCGCAGAGGTTTGCCATTCATTGCCTGCCTGCAGAGGGAATGTGCTAATCTCAGCCCTGGATCTCTAGCTCAAGCAGTTTGATGAGGGTGATGCTGATTCACTGAGCTCACGAGCCAAGGCAGCCCAGGATTGTATTACACAAGAGCGGACGAGATTCCACAAGTAAACGGGCCTTCCCAGCAGCCATCAGTGTGGAACCGGAAGGATTTTCTAATTCTGCACAGGTGTGCCTCTGATTCGTTTGCTCATCATGCTTATGTCCTGAGAGCACTGAAGGAAAGCTCCTGAGAAATACATATTATTTGTCAGTAGATCTGGATTTATATAACTCAGGTCAGATGGGGATTTAAGCACATTTGAGCCATTTTTTGCCAAACTGCTGACTGGGAAAAAAAATTATGGCAACTTCAGATTGCCTCCTGATGACTTACCATGCTTTGGCTTTGCTTTGCCATTATGATAGGGCTGATTTCAAATAAATAGTTAGCAGTTTTGTGAGATAAGGGAGAAGAAAAGTACAGAGCTATCTCAGTCCTTTGCTAAACTATCTTCTGAAGATCTGTCTCCACTTTGAAATTGTTCCCTTAGAAATCATATGGAACCCCATTCAGACCCTCTTTTCCTTTATGAAATACTATATATCTTTCTCATCATGTATGTTTTCCAGAGTTATGTTTTCTAGTGTGGCTTGTGGGAACCTGAAAGGATGAAATTTATCCCCTCAGCTGTTACCATGCTTTACTAATTAGAATAACTGAACTGGAGTTCCTGGTACAACATCCAAACTTGTAGTGTTGGTGGGATGGGCCCTGACTGTTTTTGGAAGCTGGTGCAAGACTTAGTAAATAGCCTGTGGTCTTTTCAGGTCCTATATTCTAGAAAATGTCTTATTCTTCGGAGGAAGAATTACCTTTCGGTGACCAGATCCAGCATCAGAGTTGAGGGTGAAGTTGCTTTTGCCAGTTGGTTCTTCTTAGGGATAGTTACCCCCTTCTTCAGCTCACAGAATATATCTCTTTAGAGTTCTTATCATCCCCCCTATACAACAAGACCCTATTACATATATTTTTTCTGCTGCCAACATTTGCTTGTTTAAGGAAACTGGATAAAATTAGTGAAAATAGGAGAGGAAAAAAAGTGAACATATTGTAGGTACTTGAAGGAACCATGTATTCAGATTTCTCCCTGAGACTTGAGCTTTGGGCTGTTCATTTTACATCACTATTAGATTTACTGGACTGGGGGTGAGGCTTACGATAAAGCTCTTGCCTGGTATGCATGAGGCTCTGGATTCAATCCACGGCCCTGCAAAACAAAACAAAGCGAAAAAGATTTACCATAAGTGGTGTTAGTATTTAAACCTTGAAATATACATATACAAGTAGTGTACATAATTAGAAAATACATGCTACTTCTTACTATCACTTAATAACCTTCAGGAAAAGTTATAGGCCATGTAATTCATCAATTCATTAACAAGTTGGGCAAATGCTATATTTACCAGTTGCTATAGTTTGTGCAGTAAGCAATGTAATTAGATAACCTACAGGCATATTTGAGTGTCAAGCATAAGCCTGTTTCTCTACAAGGGCTATTATGACTAACTCTTGGTGTCGTATTTGTGAATCACTGGTAGTATAAGTTTCAGGCCCTAATTATATAGTTTCTACTTCAAAGGAAAAAGGTTCGTGAAAGGAGGCAATGGTGAGTTTTTGTTTGGAGTTTCTAAGTATTTCTGCTAGTCCTTTCTCAAATGAAACACAAACTGCATGGTACACTGTTGCTCCAGATGGAAAGGAATCTTTGGGTAAAAATGTCTTGATTCCCAGACCTCCATTAGTGTTCTTGCCATTTTCTTGTGTAGTGGTTTTCTTTTCCTCTTGATAGAGACTGTCTTCACAGGGTGGGGTTTTGTTTTCAGCATACAAAAGAATACTAGTTCTGTGATGCAGTCAATATCTTCTAAGATAGCCAATATATAAGTGATCATTTTTTTTCTTTTTCTTTCTCTTGTGTGTGTGTGTGTGTGTGTGTGTGTGTGTGTGTGTGTGTGTGTGTGTTTTGGGTACGGGGGCTCACACTCGGGTCCTTGCACTTGGGAGACAGGCAGCAGAACCACTAGCTAAATCCCCTGCCCTAAGTGATCATTTTGACATAATGCTTTATTGCTCACTGTTGAAGTATCCTTGGCCATATGTTTTCTTTAACTTTTCCTATTCTTTGGCAATTGTTTTGGAACATTATAATGGGAGGGTGAAGGCCTTTATAGAATCACAAGTTTTTAAATTTGTCACAAATTTAAAACAAAGTCTTTGATAGAGACTCTCAATATAGCCTGTGTTGTTTTCTTTTTCTTATTTACCCTACTTAAAGCCCTATTGCCTCAATTCATAATTTCCAAATCATCAGAATCTGATCTATCACTCACAGTAACATTCAGACTTGGAGTATGTTGGTGGGGATGGCCTGGGTTGACCTTGGGAGCTGGTAGCAAGATTTAATAAACAGCCTGTGATCTTTTCACTTCCTGTATTCTCATAGAAAAGGAAAAAAAAAAATCTTTCTCCCAGGAGGAAGAATTCCCCTTTGGCCAGATCCTGAATCAGGGAGAAGTTATCGCTGCTTGCCAGTGTGTTCCTCTTGCTTAGAGATACACTTACCCCTCCTCCAGCCCGAAGAATACATTCTGCCTGAGTTCTTATCTATTTCCCTTCCCCCTCTCACAACAAGACCCTAATTATCTTTTTTCTGCTGTCAACATTAGCATGTCTTTGGCTGCATAGTGTTTTCCTTATGGCATCAAAAGGCCCTTCTATCTCTTGTGTATGACAAATATTGTTCCAGTTAATTTATGTGTGTCTTTATAGCGTCTCACGCCCTGTGACTCCCAGCTGGTACTGGGAATGCCATTCTTCTCTGGGTGGGGGGCTGATGTAAGTGGTGTTAACCACCTTATAACCCATCCCTTCTGTTAGACAACCCCAGGCAGTCAGTCTGTACAAACGAGACAGTTTGGTTTTTAAATGTACTTTTAATTTTATCAAAATTATGCAAGCACATGGTTTAAGAGTAAAACAGCTCTGTAAGACATGTTATAACAACATCACTGTCTACTTCCAGAGGAACTCTTTCAGCTCTTCTAACTGCTGCCTTTGACTTTTATATTCATGCTGCCAAAGAGCATTCTTCTGTGGCTGTCTCTTGGCTTTTCTGGGAGGCTTTACTCACTTCCTACGGGAGAAATTGAGGCGTCAGCTCTCTTTCACTGCCCACACTCTCTTGTATACCTTGTGCCCTGCCACTCTGTCCTTTCGTTCCATAGTAACTGCAGCTAGACCACTGCTTAGGGCTTATGTTATTATGACCTTGCACATGCTAGTCACAGCTAAACTGATACTCAATTATTTTTCTTTTTCTGAAATTTCATTATTACTGTATTAAATAAATTTAATAATTATCTTCTTTTGGCTTAGTTTCCTCTGCCTCAAAATGAGTCAGCCTTTTCCTTTCTTGTGTATCTTTTAATGTGAAGCATTTTAGGGGCTTTAGCGGTGGTAGTTTATTGAAGGAATTCTTCCATCCTATCACATTATATTATGTAGTAAGAATTCTCTCCTGGTCAGGTTACTGTCTAAGCCAGCTGTAGAGCTGTCAACTTGGAATGCCTGAAATGCCCTTTCACCCTTTCCCACAAGAGTGCTGTTCACCTTTTACATGATTCCTTTTCTTTTTTCTAGGATCTCTTGGCTTATTCCTTAGTTATTCTCCATTTTTGAGGCTTTGAATATTTCACTATATGTGAACTTTGCTCTTACTCTTGATTAATGGTTTGGCCAAACACTAGGATTCTGGGTTAGAAATTGTTTTCTTCATAACTTTGATCTTATGCTTTGTGGTATTTTGTGAACTATTGAGCAATTCATGTCATTTTGTTTCTTGATATTGTGTGTAACTTTTGTTGTTGCTCTCTGATTTTGCTTTATTTATCCCAGAAAATTCAGCTAGCTGTTTTGTGCCCTGTCTCCTGAAGTATATGACGATGAGTGTAATTAATGCAGTGCGTGCCCACTTTAGTCAGTGTGCTGAGTGCTCAGGCAGCCTTTTATTTGGACATTTTTCAGTTCTGTGCAACTTTTTAAAAATGCTTAAGACAACTAGAAATTCTATCTTTTTTGCCATACTTTTCATTTGGATATTTAACTGGTCTGCCTTTTTTCTTTCTGTTCTTATTTCCTAGGTCTTTGACCTTTTTCAAATTTCTAACGGAGTCTCATCTTTCTCTTTCAGCTGTTTCATTGAGTTTTTTAGTTTTTCTTTCTTTCTTTTTTTTTTATTTCCAAGGACTCCCATTTATTCATGAAGTTTTTCATGGTGCTTGTTCCTCCTTCTTCGCCCCTTTCTCCTCGTCCTCTCAGCTTCTGGGTCCGAGTCAGCTTCCCGCATGAAGAACTGTGTCTCCGGAAGTGAGACCAGAACTCCGCCCAGTCCTGACCTCACCACACACTGAGCCACTTCTCTCACTGGAGCACTTCACTTCCGCCTTTAACGTGCACCTTTGGGATTGCTCTGTATTTGTTTTATCAGTGTTTCTTGAGGATAAAAGGCTCTGTAGCATGTATATTCCCTTAAGTCCTCTGGGGCCCTCTCAAGAGATCCCCCAAGTTAGAACCATTTTTAGAATAATCCTAAGATATTTTTTACCTCTTGCATATTCCATGAGTTTCCCAGGGGATCTTCCAGTCTTTAGGATCTGCTGTTGCGCTAGACTGAATGTGGTGGATGTAAGAACCCCTCTGTCTACCAATTAAGCCAGGCATTAAAATGATTAATAAATATTCTAAAAATTTCTAGTTGAAAATCTAGTAAAATAAGTAACCATGGGTATAACCTCCATGAACAAAGAGCCCTTTGGAATCCTCAGTGTTGTGTAAGAATGTCAGGGGGCCAGGAAGACAGAGCTAGTGAGACTTTGCTCCAAGATCATAAACATGCGTATGGAGTTCATACTGTATCCTACTAAGTATTTGTGTACTCTGTAGCATTATTTATCTTATAATACAGGTAGTCCTCCTTATTTCCTCCCTGTAAATACTTGCTTAAGGTTTGTTTGGTTTTTTCCTATATTTTTTGGTGATTTTCTGGTAATTTTCTTTCTCAATCTTGAATGAAACAGTATTTTAAGTTTCTTGTTACACTGTTTTTTCTCGGATGGTTAGAGTTAGTAATTTACATTGACCTAACCTGCAAATGGCATAAACGAATAGCCATTAATTTTATTATTTATGAGCTAGAGAATCAAACAATTTCTGTGGCCTTTTTGAGCGGGCATATATTATTGCTTGGGTAAATGTTTAAACAAGATGTTCTAGAACATGGAAATCTGATAGAAAAATTTAAACTGTCCTTCAAGTTCTGAATAATCACTATCAGGTAAACAACTGTGAACAAAGGGAACGTATGGTCAGTCTCTTTGGGGAGCGTACTGTACACATAAAGGAATAATCTTATGATTTTTTAAAAATTTTAGATGAAAAAGAGAAATTCGAACCCACAGTCTTCAGGGATACACTCGTCCAGGGGCTTAATGAAGCTGGTGATGACCTTGAAGCTGTAGCCAAATTTCTGGACTCCACGGGCTCAAGATTAGATTATCGTCGCTATGCGGACACCCTCTTTGACATCCTGGTGGCTGGCAGTATGCTGGGTAAGCCGTGCATTGTAGCATCTTCTTGAATATCTCGATTCTATCATTGTGCTTCCTTGTGAGTTAGAATCTTTATAAGTTTCCATTTATTAGAGTTGATTTAAATATTCAAATAGTAGCCTACAGATTGTACCTCAGTCACAGTGTGGAATGGTATTAACGTAGGTTTAAAATGTTTCCTGGTTCATAAAGACAGAATTGGAGGGTTTCTGCTGATGTTACAGTACAGCTTCCACTTTGCTCTAACTAAAAGCCGCTGGCCCTGCTGCTCCTAATCCTTAAAGGTTTGTAGAAGGGCCATAAAAGTGGTAATTCTGGGGAAGAGTGTGTCTTCTAGGTCCTTCGGTGTGCTTTACCGAGCCCAAATGACACATGGCAGCTTTTCTTTTGAACCTCACCCCAGCTTCCAATGTTTTGTCAATGTCATTTCACCCATAAATAGCAAACTATCTAAGAAATATAGATTACGCCTAGTTTTTTAAAAAATCCTTTAAATTGTGAATGCTGTATATGGAAGAAATAAAAAAGATAGAAGATTGGTAATTGTTATAGGTTGGTGAAAGCAAAATAAAGGTTGTATATTACAGAGCAGAGGCGTTCAGGAAAAAGGCTTCAGAATACTAGTTAAGTGAATTAAACAGCTCTTCCAAATGTTTGATAGCTATCATAACCGCCCGTTTTTCCTGTCCTGGACATTCTTAGATCTTAGTTGTTAATGATTAGTTTCTATGGCAGCCATAAATCACTAGGAGTGGCAGATTTTCGTAGGCCTGCAATTTTCAATTGTTTGAGGGACCTTTGCAAATGCATGGGAACATTTTGATTGTTACAAAGACATGGGAGTGGGGCCCGGGTGTGCTTCCTGCTCTGCTGCACAAAGCACAATTAACACAGTCCAGATATGGCTAGACCCCCCTGCCAAGTTAGTTTTTCCCTAGTCTATAGGCCTTAGCTCCTTGTACGGGCTTCAGTGGAAGTTGAGGGCCAGCACCAGGGTCCAGATTGGGGTTGAGGGTGTTTTCTACCTCGAGGCTTCTGGGGTGGAGTTCTGACCACTTGTGCATGGTCCAACTCACACAATACTGCATCTCACATAGAGCTTGGGAAGCCCAAAAATAGCGAAGACGCTGGCTTCAGAAGTACCCTGATGGGTGTGGCTTCTTCTGTGTCTGGAGGAGGGACTTCTTAATGGCGCAATTCCTGCAGTGAACAAGCTGCACAAAACCTTGGCCCTCTTTGCCATAACCATCGTTCCTTCTTTTGGGGTACATGGTCCCCTTTGGTACCAAGCCCCTGTTCCCTGATTTTCATTACATACTGAATTGCTGTTGTTACTGTTGATACAGATCACTCCCCGCCATTCTACATAATTCCAGGTCAAGTGCAAAAGCCATATGCAGTGTTTTCAGGGACAGTGACCTGCGGGCAGCCCTGTTGACCCTTCTGTCCTTCTTGAGCTGTTGTATTTTCTTCCCTCTCACCAGACCTCTAGGCCCCCTTGTACTTCTCTGGATGCCACTGGACTTGACTCACTCCCCAGTATGTGGTAAATTATATGTACATCTTGCACAGATGATCTCAGGGCTTTATTTGCTGTGATCTGCAGATTAATTTCTGCAGCCCAGGTTTCATTCCTCACTTTTCCACGAAGAAGGTAGAGTGATCTGTTTGGCACAACTTACTTAGCGCAGTCTGTACAACCCAAGATGCCCACTGAGTCCAGGTTTATGATGTAATTCATGAAGCCAGCCAGGTGTATTCTTTTAATATAAACACTTTGTTTAATTATCAAATATGTAGGAGGTTTTTTTTTATATATATACCTACAAAACATTTATCTTCTCTTAATTGTTCTTGAATCAACAACAACTGTATTAGTCTTTCAGTTTTCTCCTGGGTATATTAACTACAAGAAATATTTTAGCTTTCACTTCAGCCTTAAGAAAAGTTGCCATTTAGAAATGGCAATTAATCCTTAGTTCCAATATCAGGAAAAAATAATTTAAATGGAAGTTATGACAGTACTATTAATACATATATAATAAGTGTTTGATGTGAAAAAGAATGTAAATTTTAAAACTTACCTTTTAAAAGAACAGACTACACTTTCAAAATAACACTTTGCAGTTATGTAACTTTTATCAGATATGAGTAATTACCCAGAGTTTTTCGAAGATCATCATCTTAAAATTTTGTTCCGGGTGGTGTGTCCATTAAAGGGGGCTAATTAAATCTCATGCATGACTTAATTGAATGAAAATAGACTCCTGAAGGAACTGACTTCTCTAAAAACTAATTTATTTCCAAAACTGCTAGAGCCTGAAGCCCATAAAGGATGTCATGCCTAAGGAAAGCGTAACTCAGTTGAATTCTCATTTGCTTCTGTATGCAACAAAGTTAGCTATATAGAGCCTTTTTCATCTGAAAATTTGACATCACAAGTTAAATCAAGAAACTCAAGCCGGGCGTGGTGATGCACGCCTGTAATCCCAGCACTCAGGAGGCTGAGGCAGGAGGATCACTATGAGTTCGAGACCAACCTGGGCTACACAATGAGTTCCAGGTCAGTCTCAACTACATAGGGAGACCCTGTCTCAAAAAATAAAAAACAAAAAACAAAAAAACAAAAGAAAAAGAAACTCAAATTTACAAATAAATAGAATTGTGAGCAGATAACTTTTGCCTTTTCAACTTTGATCATTGTTATATCCTTGGTGTCTAGGCACAGTCACTAGCATATGTATGCTACAAATACTTGTTAGGCATATGAAAGATGCTACTCTAACTTGACCTGCTCAGAACTTCTACCCTAACTATAATGGAATAAAATCAGATAACAAATTACCTTATGTTCTGATTCTGCCCTTCTAATCAGTCAGTGCTTACAAAGACCAGCATTGAAAACCTAGAAGTGAAGCCTTTGACTGTGGAAAATTAAATTGTAGAGAAAAAGGCATCCTTTGTTCTAGTCAATTTAGTCCATGAGGAAGAAAGATAAGGATGAGTAAAATACTCTCCTAGCTACAATACAGCTGTTGGATGATCAAATACAAATGGCAGAGTGGCAGAGAATATGCTGTTCCACAGTGCATAGATAACTGGGTTAGTGAAGAAGGAGCAGTTTTAGCACCTTCTCAAGTAGAAGCCAGTGAGATCTACCAGAGTCAGATCTCGCCAATCCCATAGTTGGGTGAAGCAGAATCTGACAAAGCATTATCAAGCCTGAAAAACTGTCCTAACATGAGTAATATAGGAATTATGTTGAGATTGATTGAATTAAATTTACTGAATAATGGTGCTGTTTAGATCCCCTGGTTAAAGATACACTTTGGAAGTAACCAGATTCATAATGATAGGATCAGGAGAATGTAAGAATATGGAGCAATGTTATATGCTGTGGTTGGCATGCCAGTTTGTATTGGAAACATCGGTCCACAGCAATGTGTATATATTGGCAAAGGAATATTCTAAGGAATTTAAGGACTCCTCGTTCAAGTCTTTTATTGTTTTCCTTGATGTGGAAATTGCTGTGTTTTGCAAATGCTTTTCTAATTTGGCTCCTGCACTAAATGTAATTTTCTCTTTTCAGCCCCTGGAGGAACACGCATAGATGATGGTGACAAGACCAAGATGACCAACCACTGTGTGTTTTCAGCAAATGAAGATCACGAAACCATCCGAAATTATGCTCAGGTAGAGAGGTTGCCATTGTGCTAGAAGGGAAGCATTTGAACAGGACTGAGGAGAACAAAACTCTATAGCCCACTTTTATAATAGGGATGTTAGATAACTCTTAAACATGAAAAGGCACTCAGTTACTTTCATAATAAGATAGTAAGCTTGCACACTACATGAAACTGTTTTTAACCACTCACCTGTCAGGGATATAGGGCACCAGGTACACACAGCAATGGCCAGTGGGTTGGTGAACGGGTTCTCTCTTTAGGGAAAGTAATGTCTTTCAAAAAAATAATTGCACATCCCTTTGACTCAGCAGTTTTAGTTCTAAGACTTCATCCTGCAGCTGTGCTTACACATGTGTGAAATGACACATATGGTGGTAGTGATTTAGCATTGGCTGAAGTACCAAAGGAAGAAAACAACCAAAAAATCAGTAGAAGACTAAGTAAAGTTTGGCAATTTGTATTACAGATTACCATATAGCTATGAAAAAGAAAAGCAAGAGGATATTTGTATTATGTTGTAAAAGGTTCATATCTAGATTAAATAAAAAATGCATGTCAATAAGTTACAAAGAAAAACAATCTGTCAGGAACAGATACAGACATTTCAAAAGACCCCCCCCATATATGAAAACATGTTTGAACTTGTTGGTACTAAAGAAATTCTTATTAAAATCAGATCTTTTATATGTATTAGTAAAAAAAAAAAGGAAGTCGTTAGTCCAAATACAGGACTAGAAATAGTCTGCATGTAAACAATGTATTAGACATTATCTTTTAAAGCTAATAAGCGTAAGTGCAGTATGGCCAGCTAGAGCAGGGTTGGCCTGTTCCTGTGCTCAAATGTCAGTTATTCTCAGCTAAACCATTCTATGAGCAAGCCCTGGGGTCACAAATCTTGTTGTTATACTCGTTTCCGTATATGAACTAAAAAAGGCCATAGGGAATAACCACAGATTAGTGATAAAATTTCAGATGCTAGAGACTATGTCTTTTCTTTAATTATTAAAATGGGAAACGTGTATGAAGGCAAGTAATTTGGGATACAAAGCCATTAACAATTTAAACTTTAGACATTTTTAATTACATGCTATTTTAGCAAAGATTTATTTTCCCTATTTAAGAAACATGACATAAAAACTAAGGGATTTTTCTTTTGAGACAGTGTCTCACTACGTAGTTCAGGTTGGCCTCAGACTGGTAGCGATCCTCCTGCCTCGGTTTCCAGAGTGCTGGGATTGTAGGCGTGTGCCATCATGCCCAGAGGAAATACTTTTAAATGGTACAAAACATTAAGTAGATAGAATTAAGTGGGCCAGGTTCTAATCTGTCCTCTAAAAATCTTTGTTTCTTGGGCTGTATAATGACTGTAAGAAAGAGTATACTGAAATAAATGTCCTCGGTTCAGAAGCTAATGTTTTTACTGTTGTAGTCATCTTTTCATGTATTCGATACGGGCAGTTCACAAGGTATTACAATTCGTAAATTCAGATAGTGAATCTGAATACTTAGTAGCTGTTTCCAGATTTGCCAAATAATAGTGCCTCTTAACTTTTGGCATAGAATTTTTTCAGGGTCAAATTAATACAGATACAAGGTATATTCATTATTATTTGAATTCCATTTGAAGGAAAGAAAAGACATAGAAGAAAAAATCAGTACAGCTGTTTCTATAAACAAAAAAATAGTGAAGTCTGCCTTTTCATTATATCTAAAGTGAATGGTTTCTTCTTATAAATAATTTTATTTTTCATTTGGATTATGGATATTTGAAAGAGAAAACAATTTGATACCTTGCTTGAGTTTTAAAATCATTTAATACTTACAGATTGACAGAAAAACCTGGTGAATGAGGCCATCAAGCAGAGAGAGATTACATAAATAGAAAGGATATTTGAGGGGAGATAAATAATGATGGCTTTTGTTCTCTTATGTAGACATTTACCTGTTGATATTTAGATAATATTCTTGGATAAAGATAATTATTTTTCTGATTAATAACCACATTAAGAAACAAGTGAGTACTGGTGTCAGTTGAAAATAAAATGTGTAGGATTTTAATGCTTTTTTTTTTTAACTTCATATCAGTTCCCTGCCTGCTTCATTATTCTCCCATAAAGGGCTAGTATTAATTTTTTACTTCTGGGCTCCATCTTAATTGCATTAAGAAATTCATCAAAAATTGTTAGGAATAATTCATTTGGATATGAGAAAGGAACTATATTCACAAAGCATTTCCACAGGTATTAAAAATAATATTTACAAGATGCTCATTTATATAAAAACATTCCACTTTCATACAGCCTTGAATTTAACTGACACAGCAGCACATCCTGGAGATGAGGCCAGCAATCTTTATTGCTAGTCCATTAGGGTTTTTGCTTATCTGTGAGCAACATGTTTGACGCCCAATTAGAGTATAATCTGACTGAAACTGTTCTCTTCCCCAGCGTGTCTCTATCTATGTGATTATGACCCCTACATTTTAGTTAACATTTTCAGTCTTGTGTCTCACACATTAAAAGCCCTATTCATTTTTATTTTTATCAACATTATTCTTGGTTTCTTTACCCATTCTTTTCTTGAATGAATTTTTTTATCCTTTAGATGGTCTTGATTTTATTTTTGCCTAGATCATAGGAACACCTTTAAAATGCTTACAGCTTTTATATCTCTCTATGAATATGTTTACACCTTATTGTAGGTCTTTGGGTAGTGAAGATGACGTTCTACACTTCTATGAATTTTTAAGTTGTTCACATAATATTTTCTGTTTTATGCTTAGGTCTTCAATAAACTCATCAGGAGATACAAGTATTTGGAAAAGGCATTTGAAGATGAAATGAAAAAGGTAACAGATTGAAATGTAATGCCTGCCTGATTAAAGTGATGGAAGAGCACACGCACACGCACACACACAGTGATAGTCCAGGAGTGCTAGGGATGTTATGAGTTTTAAATGAAAGCTTATTAAATAAATAATTTAGTATGATAAAGCATTAGCGAAATACTAAAGGAAGAAGTATGTGATTATCCTGGGCTTTTTTTCATTAATATTTAACGTGAGACAGTGCTTTGTTTAATAGAAATAGTTTTACAGATTATGATCTTAAATATCACAGAGCTTAAAATGAAAACTAGAGATTCTAGATGTTCAAGAACAGTAGATATAACATAAAGCTATATGTTTAAAGAGGTTTAATAACAGTAGTGAGAAATAACTTAAATGTCCATTGGTGGGACATGGGTATAGCCTATCCATATATTGGGACAAACATTATGCATTCTTGTAAGAATGAGACATAGCCACAAGAATTGATAAGGATAAATGCCCATAATTTAAGTGAAGGATGTGGTGGTGTCAGCCTGTAATCCCAGCATGCGGGAAGCTAAGGCAGGAGAATTGCCGCCAGTTCAAGGCCAGCCTTACATAGTGAATTCAAGCCCAGCCTAAACTACAAAAGTGAGTCTGTCTCAAAAAACAGA